ACATATTTCAGTGCCATTGTGCATACTCTTTTGCCTAGTGTAAGGGTCTACATGTTTAGCTAGAAACAGGATGGATTTTTAAGTAGATTGTGAGTTATATGTTTAGATAAGTTGTTCAATCTAAAGAAGAAGGCACAAATATTGTACAATTAGGAACACTACTTACGTATTGATTGTAAGATATTTGAATACAATTTAATCTAAGCTGCGTATATCAACATATCATCTCATCTGGGACACAGAGGAGAGAAGCAAAGCATGTACTACAGAGGTATAAAGCACTGCATTAAAAGCAGAAGTCAAGTCTGTTAAAAAAACAAACAAACCTGCAAACAAGTGGGATTATTAAGACAGAAGAGAAACGGTATATCCATTCTGTCATCATTGCTTCTCCTTGCCTGTCACTATTTGCATGCACTGATCCGCACATGTGCAGCTCAGTGCATGGGCTCGGCAAGGTCCTGTGCCGAGATGAAATAACTCCCGTGCACATGGGCTGGAGTTAAATCATCCTGGTCTGCCAATCAAGAGGCTGAAGCAGGGGGTTTCACAAGGCTGGGTAACACCTGGAATGGAGACCGGGTGACACCCCCCTGTGACATCATTGCACATGTGCGGTCGTCTTTTTTATGACTGCCGGCGTCCAGAGAAAGGAGGGCCGGGTCCCCTCATCGCTCCTGCCACTGTTGGGCTCTCTGTCCGTGACCAAGTGCCCGACTTTTCATAGGGGGAGACACCCCCCTTGTGATGCCACTGGGCTGAAGACCCTGAACCAAGAAGAGAGAAGCAGCGGAGTAGAGAACTGACTGGGGTTGGAGAAAAAAATAAATAAATAACCCTTCCTTACTCTATTCAAAACAAAAAAGTGTTGGCTTTAATTGTACTTTAATGAGCTTTGTTCTGCTGTTACATAACCTTGAAATCAGAGGAAGCTCAAACTATTGAAGGACATGTTTCTGGAAGATGAAATGTGGAGGGAATTAACTTTTCAGAGTTATGATACAAATACTTTAAATAAAAATGTATATTTCAGTGGCCTAAATGGCGCTAACACCAGAAAACAGGGATTAAAGAAACATCGAGGCTTAACATTTTTCCTGTACAATGTCTAGTAAGTTGCACTGAGTAAATACAGCTGGATAAAACAAAAACTGTGTCTGTCTTCATTTCGGGCTGCAAAGCAACAAAATGTGATTATTTTATAGGGGCGTGATTCTTTTTTATACCCACTGTATACAGCCGATCTGCAACCCTCTTGTTCTGGGAGCATGTACCTGTACATCCCCCGGGGTCTACCGTGTGCACGCTCCCACCACGCACGCAACCCGCTGCTCCCACTGTCATTAGACAATGGAAAGTAATGGCTTCTGACTGCCTTGTGATTGGTTACCACAGCAATCACAGATTTACATTGCCAAGCCCTCCCCTTCCTCTTACAACAGTGGCAGGGAGAGTAAAGGGCGGGTCATGAATGAAGCATTGGTTCATTCATTCTTGGGGAAAACAAGCTTCAGGAGCAGCAAATAATAAAGTGTACTAAATTATTTAAAGGGTTTATAAACCCTCCGTTTTTTTTGCATATATCTACTGCTAGCAAGCAGTAGATATGGGGCGGGCGCATGCGCAGTTTAGATTTTCGGCCGGGAGACGAGAAGAGATACAAGGTAAATCTATGGACCCGCACGCAGACACCGCGGGATCGGAAGTGCCAGCAAGGACAGAGGAGTCAGCGCCGGATTGGACAGCCGTGCAAGCGCTGGAGGGACAGATAAAAACAGCAGGCGGTTCTCAACCTGTGGGTCGCGACCCCGTCGGGGGTCGAATTACGATTTGCCAGGGGTCGCCTAGCAGCTTCCGGCCGCCTGGGAGAGAAACACTTTGTCCCGGAAAGGTTAACTCTGCTCGATCGAGCAGAGTAAACCTTTCTCTGCTCCGTTTTTTTTTCTTCCTGACATTGGGGCTGTGGGCAGCGGTAATTCAGAAAAAAAAACCACCATAGGAATGCAAAGCCCTCTGCTGCTGCCAATCATCAGAGGGGGACCTGAAGTTCTCCATCAGGTCCCCTTCTAGTGATTGACAGCAGCAGAGGGCGGGTGCAATAGCTAGTTTGCTATTGGCTAGTGCAAAGTGAAATAGCCAATAGGAATCTAGCTATGCATTCCTATGGTGTTTTTTTTTTTTTATTCTGACGGCGTACATAACGCGGTTATATCCACAGTCCCACAATCTGCACTCCCCCCTCCACATATGGTGCTGCATTAATGTACTGCTGGGGTAGTGGGATTTGTAGCCCTTTATAGCTGATGGTACATTGTGCTGTATATGTACCATCAGCTATAGAGGACTACAAATCCCAGCAATACATTATACACTGTATGTATAATGTACTATTGTACATTATTATGTACAATAATTATACAGCCCAATGCAGAATACCACCAGCTATATAGGACTACAAATCCCGGCAATAATAAATTATACGGCGCAATGGAGAAGAACACCATCTATAGAGGAATACATCAGATCCCAGCAATAATACATTAGATACAGCGCAATGCAGAATACCAGCAGCTACAGAGGACTACAAATCCCAGCAATAGTACATTATACTATAATTCACTATTGCTGGGATTTGTAGTCCTCTGTAGCTGGTGTTATTCTGCGTTGCGCCGTATAATCATTATACAGCACACTGCAGAATACCAGCAGCAACAGAGGACTACAAATCCCAGCTATAGTATAATGTACAGTACTATTGCTGCGATTTGCTGTATTCCTCTATAGCTGGTGTTATTCTGCGTTGCGCCGTATAATCATTATACAGCACACTGCAGAATACCAGCAGCAACAGAGGACTACAAATCCCAGCTATAGTATAATGTACAGTACTATTGCTGCGATTTGCTGTATTCCTCTATAGCTGGTGTTATTCTGCGTTGCGCCGTATAATCATTATACAGCACACTGCAGAATACCAGCAGCTACAGAGGACTACAAATCCCAGCAATAATACATTCTACAGCGCAACGCAGAATACCAGCAGCCACAGAGGACTACAAATCCCAGCAATAGAACATTATAGTATAATGTACTATTGCTGCGATTTGTTGTATTCCTTTGGGATTTGTGGTCTCCTTTAAGCAGTGGTTCTCAACCTATGGGTCGCTGTGTGATTTCTCCTCAGCCCTCTCCTAGCGCAGCAGTGTCAGTTCTCCCGCCACGCCGCCAGATGTCACTGCAGCAGCCACCTCATCCCTAAATTTTACCGTTGGGGGTCACCACAACTTGGCAAATGTTACCAAGGGGTCCCGGCCCTAGAGAGGTTGAGAACCACTGTCCTAGATTGTTCACTTCTCCTCCCTTCTCCAAACTCCTCACCCTTTTGTGAACAGCCAAATGTTTTTTTTTTTTCTTTCAAGACTTTTGTTCTTTTTTCCTATAGTAAAAAATAAAAAGCGGTTGTTAAATGTCACCAAAAGAGAGCTCTGTCTGTCTCCAAACATGAGACTTCATTTATTTGGGTATAGTACTGTGTGAAGGAGTCATTCTCAGTCAAACTTTCACAGCACTAAAAACTGAAAAGTGGCCGGGTAATGAAGGGGGTTTAACATGCCGGTACTGAAGTAGTTAAAATGTTATCATGTGACATGGCTCTTTATAGAAGAACTCTGGGCATAAATATTCTTAACCCTTGCAGTGGGCCTACCCCTGCACTGCAAGAGTTTAGGGCTTGTTCACCCCATATACAGTGCGCTGCTGTGCAGTTAGCTGCTGGAATGCACTGTATCGCATGCTGGCCGGCTTCCTGTGTCCAGGGGCAGCAGGGGGCCTTGGTGGAGCATTGGAGTTAATAGCACTAGACTGGAGTGCAGGCATTGATGTGCCACGCATTCTGGTGCAGGCAATAGCACCTAAGCCACGCCCCCTGCCCGCAGTGCGATCGGCCGCACCAGAATGCCTGGCACATCAATGCCTATGTTCCGGTCCAGTGCGATCTGAAAAAAATGCTGCATGCACTATTGTTTCAGATCGCACTGGATCGGAGTGCAAGCATTGATGTGCCACGCATTCTGGTGCAGGCGATAACAACCTAAGCCACGCTCCCTGCCCGCAGTGCGGTCGCCACACCAGTACATGCAGCCTTTTTTTTCAGATCACAATGGACCAGAACATAGGCATTGATGTGCCAGGCGTCTGGTGTGGGCGATCGCACTGTGGGGGGGCTGGCTTCGGTGCCATTGACTCCTATGCACCACCACGCCTCCTCCTCCCGCCCCTGAATGCAGGAAGCTGGCCAGAATGTGATACAGTGCGTTCCAGCAGCTAACTGCACAGGAACGCACTGTAGATGGTGTGAACAAGCCCTTAGTGTTCGTTTTCGTCTAGGGATAAAAATAACAGTTATACTTATCTGAACTTCGGAGCCAGCTGCATGTTACACCACTCCATCCCCCTCGAGTGATGTGATGTCCCACCGCCCTCAAGTCCTATGTGCAGGACCTGATGACTGACAGGACCTAAGACTGCTGGAGCAGAGGGGGGAGAGAGGCTGCCAGGACTGGTCTAGCAGCCAACTGACTGTGAGTTTCAGGTGAGTATACCTTTTTAATTTTGGTCCCTAGAAGAAAACAAGCACTTAACCCTTCCAGAGCAAGAGTAGCACCAATGCAGGGGTTAGGAATATTTATGTCTGGGATTCTTTAAAGCTAGGCTGCCATTACTTTCCTCTTCTGAAAATGCTAATATCCCGGCTGTCCTGCTGAACAAGCATGCGGATCATGAACTCTGATTTCCTAAGCCGCATGCTTGAGTTAGGGACTTAGATTGTATTGCATGGAATACAGCAAAATGAAATGAACAATGGCAGGCCCGGGTTCTAGTAAAGGACACTGCTTTTCTCACAGCGCTATAATACCCAACAGCACAGCCTGCCCAATCTGCCATCTGCGCATCGCTCTACCACCGCCCGGAGGGGCGCAGTGCGCATGCGTGGGCTCCTCCCCTCTGTCTGGCCGGTGACTGGGGTACTGGAGTCGGGGAGGTGACGTCAGGTGCGAGCGTGGCTGCAGAGGCCGGGGGAGATCTCGGCTCCCAACATGTCCTTGCACAAGTGTCAGGAAGAATGGAACGAACTGGAGAAGGAATTCAAGCAGCTTCAGGTAGGTGGGAGCCGGGGACAGAGCTGCGGTAGGAGTTCAGCTAGTTCACATAGAAATGCACGCCGGGGGTAGGAGCTGAGCACTTCTCAGTGGTGGTCCATGCTGAATAATGGAAGGGAGCCTTATGATTGGGCTCTATTGTCTTGTATGTTGTAGCTGTGACTTGTCATTGTGTTATTGTTTTACTCAGTCCCCATACTGTGTGCTCCTTGTTGGAGCATCCTGGATCCAAAGCCTTTAGATCAGGAGCTCCTTGTACTGCATGCCTGCTGAACCATGGACTCTGCTGTGCAATCTGATCATAGAATAGCCAGTGCAATGGTATCATTCGGACTACTCTGCAATCTGATCATAGAATAGCCAGTGCAATGGTATCATTCCTGCCATGGACTATAGTATTCCTACCATGGACTACTCTGCAATCTGATCATAGAATAGCCAGTGCAATGGTATCATTCCTGCCATGGATTATAGTATTCCTACCATGGACTACTCTGCAATCTGATCATAGAATAGCCAGTGCAATGGTATCATCCCTGCCATGGACTATAGTATTCTAGCCATGGACTACTCTGCTGTGCAATCTTATAGACTAGCCAGTGCAATGGTATCATTCCCGCCCGGGAAGCCGGCTCCATGCCAGCGGGAGCACTGGTATCAGTACTATGTATCGGCGAGTACCAAAAGCAAAATATCGCTACTCGTACTCCATACCGGAAAACCGGTATCGGTGCACCCCTCATATCTACCACGGAGCCTCCTGTACAAGTTTTAAGAATATCTACCATGGAGCCTCGTGTACTCTTAGAAGTAAATAACCAGTCTTAGTTTTACTTTTGAGAAATACCCATTTCTTACTTACAAAACAAGTTGTACAAGCCTGAGCATGTGTAATTGCTAGTTAGTGTAATTGCTGAGTACAAGCAAAACCAGATTCTTAACAAGAAACTTGTATTTATATTGCAAGATATGGTATAGTATGGCATTAGTTAGGCTTAATTTTAATAGTAACGCCCAAGAAACCAGAAACTACATTTACCTGGAATCTATCTGTGGATGCTGGATAATGGGGAGTTTACTGTATTATGATAATACTGCATAGGTAACGGTATGACATGGTCACGCTTCAGCAGTTTAGTTGTTACATAATGGCAATGCAAAGCCAAACATGAATCCTTATTCCACATTATAGATATTTGTGGCAGTACAAAGTCTAACACCAAAGCAACAGCCATTCTCACAGGGTTCCTCCAGAGGTTGCTATGGGTTCATTGATTGATTGACCTCTCATCTGATGATACCTGCCTAGTCCCTGGGCCAGTGCCACTTGGCAGAGCCAGCGGTATGACACCAATGGTCTTGTTAGCTGTGTGTAAGGCTGGCACTGTGAGGGGGGTGCGTTCTTCCCATTAACCAATAGAGTTTGTTCTTCTTGACCCCCAATGAATTGGTTTACCCTAAAAAAAATATTTTAAGTGTTCCTCTGGGGTAAAAAGATTGAGAATTGCTATAAAAAAAACAAATCTCTACATCTTTTTCATTTTTTATAATCTAAAAAGGATGTTAGTAGTCAGATTGTATATTCAATTTTAAGTCAGAGCAGTGGCAGATATGTTCTGATTGGCTGCTTCTTCTCCATGTCTAGGTACTTATCTGTTGGTGGTGTTTGTCTATTAGACCAGTCTGAGTTATAGCAGACCTTTTAATGGCGGCCAGTTAAACGCATTCCCCCCCCCCCATGTCAGATCTATGCATGTGCAGACCGTCATCGGTCTCTGCTAGGTTCCATAAACCTGACAGCGACCTGCCGCATGTCTGCTCATGTGCAGACTGACTTGGATCTTTGCCGTGTAATTCACATGTGCACATATCTGATGGATTCGATGTATGTGCAGACACACTGTGGGTCTCAGCCAGGTCTCATACACCTTGGTCTGTTGGACCTGGCTGAGACTCGTAATGTGTCTGTGCATGCACCAGACCTTTTTAAGATGGCAGCATGGGACCTGGCATGTGATTGACAGATCACAGCAGGGCAATGCTGGCCTCACTGGGCGGGTAAGTATCCTATCTGAGCTCAACCCAGCACATAAGGTAAGAGGGGGTAAAAGCACATTAACCCCCGAATGAAGTTCCTCTTTAACTACATTCAGGGCTTTGTTATGCAATTGCTGTCTCTGGGCTGGAGGATCTCACAATAAGGACTCGTTCACACCAACTGGTATCTTCTGTTTGCTGGTGGTGCTTTGTGTTGTAACCAGCAAGATGCTGTTTAATTGGGGGGAAAAAAAAACTTTATTGAAATGTCAGTGACGTTTCATTCATTTTGTATTCACTGCAGCTCAGGTGACTGGCGCTTGGGTAAGGTGCAGAAAAATATGCAGCATGTCTGCATTTTTTTCCCACCGCACTGCTTGGCACGCAGCTGGGGCAAAGTATTTTCATATAAAATTCTCTTTGGGATAAAACACACAAAAATAGGAATTCAGGAGTTGACAATATCTACTCCTGAACACTCTTGTGAACTGGCTGTGACACTCCCTTTGAAAAGTGATCCCCTGCAGATGGCTTTTCAGAGGTGTGTGTGTAAACATGCCACCCGGGTGTACAAGGCCTCAGGGCTTGTTTACACCATGTCCGGATCATGTCTAGATCAGAACAGTTTGTTCCCGGAACAAAAAAACATTCCAATGTATCCCTATGGTATTTCTAGGCTCTGTTCACACCAGCGCAGTCCGTTCTGGTCCAGACAAATACTGCTTGTCTCATTTTTCTCTGGTCTGGAACGCATTGAAACGCATAAAAAATACATACAAACGCACTGGACTACACCTGAATGCCCATTTTAAGATAACAAAAACGGGGGGCAAAAACACTACAACACCCAATGTACCGCATTCCAGATCTGGTTCGGAAAATGGTGTGAACCTGGCCTAAAGAGATCCTGTCGCCACATTATTCCTTTCAGCAACAACATGAGACTGCTACTGGATGCCCCCATCTTGTATGGGACGCCCACAGCCCCAGCAGACTCAGAGCTGTTCACTCAAGTAACATTCTATCAGTGACGGGGAACGACTGGATAGGGAGATTGCCGCTCCATGCCTCTCCCACCCGTGATACTAGTGACACTACAAACAGCTGTCACAGACTTTACTGCGGTTCATTGTACAAAAAAACGGCAGATTACTTATAGTGTGCCGGTTTTATACACTGGACCCCAGTAAACTCTGTGGCGGTGACAGCTGTATCGGTGGCTGTGCAAATGCCTGTCACCTGTAAGTAGTGTTTAGCCTGGCGGAGCCTGTACAGACTCTGCAGGCACTATCAGGTAACCACATCCTGCTGTTTGGGTCATTGTGAGGACCCTCTCCTGCGCTCCCTCCCCTCCTATGGCCGCCAAGGACTCAGCATTGCTGACTTTATGTATATTGTATAGCTTGTGGTATTCTGCATTCCCGTATAATGATTATACAGCAATGCAGAAAACCACCAGCTACACAGGACTACAAATTCCAGCAATACATTATATAAAGCTGCAGTGGCGGATCCAGGGAGAGCAAGTTCAAAAATACTAAAGGAGTTGTAAAGTTCCAGTATATACTGTCCTGTTATAACATTAGCATTGTAATAGGAATACATTCTACATTTGTTTTTGATAATGCAATCAAAGCTTACTTGAAAAATCCTTTTTATGTAGTGAGTACTGCCTTCTGTCTGTCCATTACTTATATCAACTTCCTGAATTCCCAGTGTGCTTTGTGTCTCTTTCCCTGCTGTTTGATGTAATGCAATCTTGATTTATCAAGACTACATACCCCATCATGCATTGCTTCCAACAAGCAGTGATAATGTTACGTTGTCCAGACGTTGAATTGTAGTTCACAAGGCTGGCTCTGTGAGAATTGTGACACGAAGTGAATATTCATCGGGCTTTGTGAAATTGTCTGAGTACAGCCTATAGGCAGCTTCAATAGGTACGTTTACAAACTTCTAGATTGATATGGTTATTAGGAGTTCATAGATACCCTTTAACCTATTCGCTGCCAGCGACATAAGGCATACAGTGCTGGCAGTGGGCCCTGTAAACAGACTCCTGGTGGCTAGAGTCGACTGTCAAAAGCCACCAGATCGCTTCCAGGGGACAGTAAAGAGAGCCCCCTACCCTCCTTGCTTCCCAGGCTCCGCTGCCCCTCCTGCGTGCCCAGCATCGGCAATTTTGGTGGGTAGCAGGGAGAGAGAATGGCGAACGTCGATTCTCTGATCTCCAGGCTGAAAGAAGCCAGAAGCAATGCTAATTACATCACTTTGGTTTCTGAGCTGCAATTCTTTGTTACGTTTGGGGGCCCCACTAGGGGGAACAGGGCTACTAAAAGCACGATTGCCAGGTGGATTAAAATGGCCATAACTGACACCTACAAGGCACCCCCTCCCCGCTCCAATCCTTTAGCGCTGATTGGCGGAATGGATGGGGAGGGGGCGGGTACAGCTGGCTCTGCCTCTAGATAGGCAGTGCCAGCTGTCACTCACGCAGCTGGGCAGATCCAGACATAATTGTCGGGATCCCCTTCAGCTGCGGCGTCTAAGTATACAGCTCGCGGTATACTGCGGCATCTCAGTATACCGCGAGCTGTAGCCGAGCTTAGGGTGACGGGAGGATGCTAGTTTGTGTCCTCCCGTTACCCTAAGGAGAACTATGGGGAAAAGCCCTAACCCCATAGTTCTCCTTTTTAAAAGTTCATTATAGCATGTGTGCAAAAAATTAAAAATCCGCCTATGCAGCAAAAGGGTTTAAGCAGACATTTCAGTAAAACATAATTGTGAACTATGTTAGTCCACCTTCCCATGAAAGTTCACTAACCCTAAAATGAAAAAAAGATTCCGGTTGAATATGCATCTGCATTTATAATTCTTTATGTTTCGAAATTTTGGAATAGGCTTTATTAATTGTTGTCCGGCTCACTTCGGCATTCCTGACCTCCCACCTACTTCCTGAAATTGATGTGATAGACGGTGGAAGGGAATGTCCTGAACTGAACTTGCTGTGCTAAAAGTATGTTTTTGGAATCTCCCCCATTGTGTAGTGAAATAGTCTGGACAGAATCGTGCTGTCACTTGGTCCTGAATGGGCAAAGCGACAGCCTCTCTTCAAAGTGAACCTGTTACTAGACCATGCACGCTAAAGTTTTTTCCATATTCTAAACAAGCAGTGAAAGCACTTTAAAACAAGCTCTCATGTATCTCTGTATTTATAAGCATTGTGAAGAAATTAATTTTCATATTTCACAATACAGACATTCTTTTTCTATGAGAATAGATCTTGCCAGGCTGCCGGCTTACCAATGTAAACAACCAGCAGATATGTCTAAGCTGTTAGGCCTCATTCACACGTCTAAATAGGTCCAGACAGCAAATTCTTACAGCAAGTGACCAGCCCTGGACACAATCTGTCTGGTCATAAATAATTAAAAAGCTCATACTAGTGAAGCTGGCAGACAACATTTTATGCATAGTCTCCCCAATCTCATCCACTGAGACCTGTTAACTCCTTCAGAGTCGTCACAGGTGGCCTCTCTCATTGGTCTCCTTTTTACACAGTTACTCACTTTTGGTGGATGTTATGTTCTTTGCAGATTTAACGCTTTTATTGTGTTAAAACTTGCTTTAATTTGTTTTTATTTTTTGTAACTCAAAATGTTTCTTGTATCCATTACCTGACCCGCTTTTCAATCCCCTTTTCATGGAGTTGATTGGTAGGTTAGTTGGTTAGTTGATTGGTAGGTTAGTTACGACATGATAATGGGGAGAATTATATCTATATATCTATATATCCAGGGCTTGAAAAATTTGATAGTGTCTCACCAGTCAGTCAAAAATTTCACCAGTCAGCATGACCGGACTATAGCCTTGCAATTTATGTTAAAAAGGGGCAGAGGCAGAGCCAGCTGTACCTGCCCCCATCCCCGTCCGTTCCGCCAGTCAGCGCTCTGTGCCGTGACAGGATCGAGACGTGAGCGAACACCGGTATGTGTTCGCTCACTTCCCGATCTACTGAGCCGACCTGTGACAGTCTCATTGTCACAGGTCGGCTAGAACTATGAGGTGAGTGAAAAGCACTCACCTCCTAGTTCTCCTTTAGGCTGGGTTCCCACCTAGGCGGTCGAAATATGCGTGTATGACGCGCGTTTTGCGGTGCATGTTTTCATCGTGATTTGCAGCCCACAACGCGCGTTTACGAGGGCTATCCGGCTGTATTCTAATAGATAGGTGCGGAAATACGCCCCCAAAGAAGCTCCTGTACTTCTTTGGGCATAGGGCGTTTTTCAGCACGTTCCGACGCGCTGAAATACGTCCAAGTGAGAACCATGCCCATAGGAAATAATGGGATTTCAATTGCAGGGCGTTTTACAGCGCGTCGATCAGCGCACTATATAGATAATTTTGAGTTATCACTGTAATAACCCAAAAGCAACTGTTAACATAACATTCATATGTTTACATGTTAGCTGTTTTATATTTTGAAAGGGATCCTAGAATGTTGTCAGTAATTATATTATGAATAACTTAAATTATATTGGTATTTTCATAAAATGTTACTGGTAGATAACGATGTTTTACACGTTAAATGCAGTGAATTTCTTAAGGCTAGGTTCAGATCTGAGTGATACCCCAGACGCACGATCGTGTTCGGGTGCATGCAGAGATTGCTGCGCTGCCCCACTGATTTCAATGGGGTTACATCTGCGTGGCAATCGCTAAAAATACCTTTTTTTTTTTTTTTTTTTTTATAGCCGCAATCGTGTTCAATTGCACAGGTAGATTTGTGGTGGGAAGCCGCACGATCCACACGGCGCGACTGGGATGCCATTAAAAAATAATGGCACTGTGTTAAAACCAGATATTGAAATATGTATGTGTGAACCTTAAATGATGATTGATTTTCTATATTTTAATCTATCCAAGTTTGGAGATTCAGTTTTTTACTGTACTGCTGATTTTGAGTTTACAATTGGTAATCAATCAGTAAGCCTGACAGGCAGACCTAAGTATAGTTGAAACAGTTGTTGGGAATGCCCAAAGAAGACTTGGCCTTCAAAATGAGACTACACACTGCCAGCGCAATCGGCTATGGAGGGTGACTCTGTGAACGCAGTTTCATGCATGATTGCCGAGTGGTCCCGGATCGCGCAGATGTGAACCTAGCCTAAATTATGAAACTGGAAATCATCTACTTGCAGTATCTTATACAGAGACTGGAAGAGGCACCAGTACAAAGATGCACCATTATAAGGGATGTGTCAACACGGGTGTTTGTTCACATCAAGCAGATTTTGCATTCCTGTACAAGTCTATACCCTGATTCAGTAATGGTACCTAATAAAAAACCCTTTAGGTTGCTTTGCTTATAATTATGACATAAGTAATTATAAGCAAAGTCCTAAAGTATTATGTCATTCTAGCTCCACTTGCAATTCAGTAGTGCAAGCATAAAAAAAGGACTGAAAAGGTCAGAGGATGCAGTGTTTTATGAAAAATGGATTCCTGTGTAGCCAAGGAGGAAGGTTGGAAAGATTAGGAAGTGGAAGTGTGATGATCTAATTGTCCCAAGATGCATCTGGAAGGTTGTGAGCTACCTAGGCTGTTTATGACTGAGAAGTCCAGGGGTTTAAAATATTTGTATTCATTCTCTGTTTGTATATTTTTGTTTTTTACACTTTTTATAAATATTTTTGTCTAACTATTTTTTGAATGGAATTTTTAAAAAAAGTCTGCAATCATTCCCGCTAAATTCGATAATAGCCTTCCATTTTAATATAACCTAATTTAATTGACAATTTGTTGTATGATGAAATGTAGAAATGATTGCATCCTTCGTAAAGGTGAGTGTACCCAATTACAGAGAGATAAAGCTAAGACATTCAGATGCATTGTTATAATTAAGGATGTCCCGATATTACTTTTTCAAGACCAAGTGCAAGTACTTTCCCTCAGCTACTTGCTGATACCAATTACCGATACTTTTTCTTAAAGGGACATGTGATATTTTTTCTAAAACAATACAGAATGGTGATTTTAGGGCAGTTTCTTTATAATTATGAAGAATTGTAACTCAATGCATGATTATACATCAACGGAGAATGGCAGACAGCAATAGAAGACTACAGATCCCTGTGTGTGGTCTCAACAAGGATGCGTTTGGGTTTCACCAGGGATGCACACTAGAGTCCTGCGATCTGGGGGCTGAGGAAGAAAGAGCAGCCATGGGAGGGGTCCCTGGAGCAGGGTCTATTGGTGACCGTTGAGTAGGATGGCAGCAGAAGTAATTGTCTGAGAGTGCTGGGAGGCCTGATGCGGTGCCGAGGAGCTGTGACAGGTGGAGAAGCTTGCTGGCTTATGCAGCGTCTTTAGGCTGTTGTGTATAGGACAACTCACCTGTAGCTGGCGGCGGGGATCCAGAGGATCAGTTGTCAGGAGAGCGGCTCGGGGAGCAGGCTCCATCAGCGGCAGCTGGAGACTCAGCCAGGGAGTGATCTGCAGTACGAGACTCAAGAGCGGGAGTCCGATGCGGCCATGTGGTCCGGCACCATATTAGTGTGCTGAGGATGGTCTTGTGGCCCGAATGAATGGTTAAGGCCCAGTGGAGACAGAGCAGGCTGGCGGGAGCTCCTGGGAAGCTTGGAAGATCTGCTGGCTGTTGCCCATTGTGCAGACCAAAAAAGCAGTAGTAGAGCTGTAATACTGCGAGTACAGGGAGAGCGTGCACTCAGCTCGGCATCCAGACACGCCCCTCTGCCTTTTCGTTTTTTTTTTTTTTTAAAGTGCCGGTATCGGCCTCTAGTATCGGGGCATTTTCACGAGTGCAAGTACTCGTGTAAAATGCCCTGTATCGGGACCGATATTAGTATCGATATCGGGATTTCCCTAGTTATAATGTATAGGAAGATTTCCAGTGACACCTGCAGGATGTGACCAATCATACATACTATAGAGTAGAACTGTAATTATAGGTCTGTAAGCAGTATTAGTATGTTGATGTGTTAAAAAACCAAAACCCTAATATTGGAATAGTTATTCTAAGTTTATGATTGTATTTACAGAATTACGAAACATGACTGGTCACCATGTGATGCCCATTATTTTCAGTTTGAAGATTGATGTAGCAGAAACTGTATTACCTATATAATTTATGTAACATGTCTAATTTGTTTGTTTTTTCTGTGATTATATTCTTTTAGGAAACACACAAAGTTTATAAACAGAGGTTGGAAGAACTGAACACTGTTCAGAACGTGTGCAGCGGTTACATAAGCAAGCATAAGAGGCGTCTAGCGGACTTAAAATGCAATTTGAACAAGTAAATTCTTCTTTTTTACCCTGCAATGTGATATTTTATGTAGAAAGGAAATCAGTGCTGAGAATAAATGTGGTCCTTACCAGCTAATGATTCATTCTGTGTCGCTTGCTTCCTAGTTTAACCACAATTATTTTGCTATGGATGCGATTAGAGTTTCTATTTCTTTCCTGTGATGCTTGTCACACAACGTTTTACTTTAAAAATAGCAACATGCGAGAAGCGTAGCAATATTTGATGTGCTTGTTTAATAAGGCAGTGCATAGTAGGTTAACATTATTTGAAGTGCGGTAAGCCGTACTAATTATAATTCACCTGTTAAGCATCTTAAAGTGTATGTTTTGAATAGTGTGGAGAAAAGTTTAGGAACATTCCTGACTGGCTTTGAGCTTGTGTCTATGGCAGCAGTGTGACATCAGTTTGACATGTTGTTGCGATCATTCAGAGTTCATTGACAGCTGGAGTTAACCTGCTTCAAATGAGTTTAGACTTTTGTGGGAATACAAGACCTGCTTGAAGGGAACAAAAATCTGGCACATACCGTGTTTGCCGGCGTATAAGACGGGTTTTTAGACCCAAAAACATCGGGCGAAAATCGTAGATCGTCCTTTATACGCCGGGTATACTGTATGTAGCTTCGGTTACATACAGTATACCGCGCTGAGCCAATCATGGCAGGCTTTGTATTCATTAATACAAAGCCTGTATTAATGAATACAAAGCCTGCAATACAAAGCCTGCCGTGATTGGCTCAGCGGGGTATACTGTATGTAGCTGGAGGACACTGTGGGGATCGTGGACAAGGTAAGAGACTGTAATCCCGAGTGTGGCTCGGGGTTACCGCTTATGGTACTGAAAATTAACCCCGAGCCACACTCGGGAATACCGCCATGGAGGTTAGTGGGTGCATTTAAACATTATTTTGGGCTACACTCGTCTTATACGACGAGTATAGCCCAAAACCTATATTTTAAACACAAAAAGTAGGGGGTCCTCTTATATGGCGGCAAATATGGTATTTGTTTTGTCCAAAATCCTGACCTAAACGATCCCACACTCCCCCTAAACAGATCCGTTCTTACCAAGATCCAGTGGGCACGGTTCTGCTATTTACATCCAGCTCCACAATGCTCCCTCTCCTAGCTGCAGCAGCACATTACAGTCCTATAGATTTCTATGGATGCAGCCAGGACAGGTAGACTTGCAGCACTCGATGTCAATAAAGGCGGTTCTGATCGAAAGCTCATTATTAGATATGTGTTCGTTTATATCTGATTTACCTTGGAATCTGTCTATGTAAAAAACAATTTGAAAAAAACGTTTGTTTTTTTCAGACCTAAACATAACAGATCGCACATCCATTGACATCCGACTGCCCGTACACCTACATGGGTCAGGTTTAAGTATACTTTTCTCTTCATCACAATCAAAGAAAACAACTGAACGCATGCGGATTTCACAAAAGCTCTGCTCCAAGTCAGCAGAGGATCTGTTCATGGATCCCCTGCTGATCGGAACAGACAATGCCTGTGTGAGGCCTGACTGTGAAGGTTCTCATTTGTCCGGGTCATGGTATAACTAGTAGTAGTTGGTCTCATTCAAGTGGACTTGTTCTGAAATGTTGAAGACTTTTTGTAGCTTATTGAAGCCGTTTATTCAATTTAGACACCTGAAAAGGCGGCTTGGATTGACTGTGAAATGGCTTTAACATTACAGAACATGTTAAGTTGATTTTGACTAATTACGTAAATGTTCACTGACTGTTAGCAAGTTTCTAATTATGACATGAGTACGCTAGTGTTGTATAGATCTAGTGGTGTTTTTATAGAGGAACTGAACTTTAGAAGCTGAGCCCAAACAAGCATGCAGAGAGCAAAGGACTTGTCACCTGCTTTGCCTTATGTCTTCCAGCAGCTGATCTTTTCCCCATTACTGACTTACCATGCCTCTTTCTGCAATGTGTCTGTGCATGGAGCCTCCAACAAAGAGAATTGATCTGCACCGTAGTGACATCACCAAATCTCCTAAGAGTAGCAGTCAGAGGCAGCAGTGTCTTAATGTGACATTGCAAATATAGGGGGTCCACAGGAGTGCTTAGGCATCCTCCCATACCATGAAGTTACCCTCTATATTTTTCAGGAGGAATTTCTGACAAAATGTAAATTTTTCAGGGACTGCTTAGGCACAATTCACATTTCTGAATTTTCCCCATAACATTTTCACTTTTTGAGTTCATTTCCCCTTCATCACAGGCCTATGCTTGCATGTATTTTTCTCACCTTCTAACCTGCAGTAATCTCTGGAGAATCCCACAAGTCTGTACTTGTTCCGAATCAATTAGAACTTGCTAGATGGTTGCAGCTGCTGTCAGAATCCTTTTGCAATACCTATAAAACATGAATATTCTTTGTTCTGTAAATGTCAATTTCAGGATACCTGCTGTAAAAGAATCTATAGTTATTGTAGTTTACTAGTTAGAATGTAGCCAGCAGCAGGACCAGACTTGTGAAACTTGAAGTGCAGATGCACTTATAATTAAGTGCTGCATCACATATTCTTTAAAAGGGAGGCCTTAGTTCTACTTTAAGCTTTTGTATTAAAGTTTGGAGTGCTGCACATTAAATATGCTAATAATGAACACTGTATTTGCCCATTGTTACTTTTCTTCCTTTTCCTATTAGGTGATGGTGGCCATCTTTCTCCACACCTTCATGTCCTAGCATTTCTTTAATATAGCTAGGTCCCTTCAGTGCTATATGGACTACAGTTTGGCATTCATTATGCATCTTTTTTCCGTAGAATCTGAAATTGTATATTGTAGGGAACTGTCTTTTTATTATCCACACTACATCTCTTTGTGCTGGCACACAACAGGTTTCTTACAACATGGTACTGAGGTCCTGAAAGTAAGGTCAGGAAAACATTTTATTTTAAGGGTTGATGCTGTGCATTGCGGTTAGTGCTTTGTGATCCCATTTATAATGAATGGCACCCTAATGCACTAAGGCTAATCATCTCTGACACACATGTTGCACAGTACGCATTTCCATGTGTTGTGGTGTACTGCCACTGTCCATTCTGATGCATTGGTGTCTAATTTATTTGAATGGGCTGCAGCACACATTACCGTGCAACATAACGCATGCACAGAAACAGACACTGGCACTCCAAATTGGCAAGCAAACGTCTATTGACGTGCAGCATAGTAGAAAAAAGCAACGAACGTTTCGGGGTTACACAGGATCCCCTTCATCAGACAAAGCATACTTCGGGGTCACACAGGATCCCCTTCATCAGCCAAAGCATACTTTGGCTGATGAAGGGGATCCTGTATGATCCCGAAACGTTTGTTGCTTTTTTCAACTATGCTGCATGTCAATAAATAGACATTTCCTTGCCAATTTGCCGGTGTCTGTTTCTGTTCATGATTGTTACGGCTGCCATCCGTTGACTACTGCAGCACCCACGTCTCTTGAGGATTTTTTGTGGTCAGGAGTGCGATGGGACCATGGACTTTCTTTACATAACGCATGTAAACGCAAAGTGTGAATGGGCTCTGACTTTTTTTTTTTTTCCCGCTAGAGAAAGGTGTGTGTGTGTGTGTAAAACCTATGCAATAGACTTGCCTACTGCAGAGTTGGCTGGCTAGACTAGTCAGCTAGTCAGTAGTGTGGGTCTTGCAATTCTGTAATGGGTGTACTCAATAAATTTGCCAATACGGGCACTTTCATTGGATAAGGGATGGTATTTTTTGGAGCTTGGCTATAAAGAAGTCGGTAAGACCATCACTCAAAAACTAAATCAGAGTTAGCACAGGAAGCTTTTTTGGCTCATGGTATAAAAGTAATAGGCATTTACAATGTGTGCTCTTAAGCAGGACCTTTACTTCCTAAAGTTTAAAAATTTGAGTTCAGGATCATTTTAAGGGTTGTTACCACCAGACTGCATTTTCTTGTATTACCAGTCCAATGAATTCAGATCTCTAAACAATCAGTATTGCCAATGTGCTTTTTTTAAAAAAAATACAGTATTTGCCGGCGTATAAGACGACCCTCTAATTTTTAGGCTATACTCGTCGTATAAGATGAGTACAGCCCAAAATAATGTTTAAATACACCCACTAACCTCCTTGGCGGTATTCCCGAGTGTGGCTCGGGGCTAATTTTCAGTACCATAAGCGGTAACCCAGAGCCACACTCAGGATTACAGCGCAGCGCTCTTACCTTGTCCACGATCCCCGCTGTGTCCTCCGTATTCTGGGTTCCGTCCCTTGCGAGCGTCCGCGTCGCAGGGGGGCAGAACCGGCGGGAATTTTAAAAGTAAAAAAAAAAATAGAACAAAAAATAATCAGACCGCCAGGGAGGCTAATCTGTCAGCCCGCTGGATGTGCGGTAATACTGTATGCACGGTAGCTTCAGCTACATACAGTATACTGCGCTGAGCCAATCACGTGGAGCGATGTACACAACCTCCGCCAATCCGAGCAGGCTTTGTATTCATAGAATACATTGCTTGCCGTGATTGGCTCAGCGCAGTATACTGTATGTAGCTGAAGCTACCGTGCATACAGTATTACCGCACATCCAGCGGGCTGACAAAGGAAGAGATGGGGCATGTCAGACCAGGTTGGTTGCTAAATGTACAAATACGGTAGATTTCTTGTGTTGTTGGAACAATTTCTAAGCGGAGCATTTATGGTTTTTGACTTTCAGATCGTTAAGATGTGAACCTACAAAATACATATACAGTGCTTCTAAAATGATGTTTAAAAAGGAAAGTATCTGGTGTGAAGGTAGCCTCACTGTCTATATAGACATACTCTGTACAGACCACAGGGGATTGTGTAGAAAATCTGTATGTTATATCTGTGCTTGTGTGGGTTTCCTTCAGGTACTCTGGTTTCCTCCCACACTTCAAAGAAATTCAGGTTGGTTAATTGGTTTCCCTCTAAAGTTGGCCCTAGTTTATATATGTGACATAGGAATGATAGATTGTAAGCTCTCTGAGGGATTGTTGTGAATGCACAGTCTGTAAAGTGCTGCATAAATTGTCTGTGATATATAAATGCCTGTATTAAATGAAATTAAATAATGATAACCTTGTTTTATTCTTCCCATCAAGGCATAAACACTCTGCCAGCCTTGGCGAGACTGACCTCATCCAGCAGATAGGCAGTACCATTAAAGAGAGACACAATGCCTTCTTTGACATGGAAGCTTATTTGCCAAAGAGAAATGGGTAGGTTGCACCATTTTTTTTCTCACTTGAGTATCATCACAAATGGTGGTGTACTTGCTGTTGTTTGGATCTCCACAGATTAGGTAGAAGACCTTTAATTAAATATACTTACAATTCCTATCCCTGGAATCCTTAGTAACAGAGAAAAGCAGAGAGTATAATTCTCAGTATTTCTGGTTTATGTGATCAGCCCACTATAGTTGTATTTTGTCTTTAAGCTCTATTACAGTCTTTCTTTGTGCTATCTACTATTAGGTACTTATGTCATCGCTACCAGCCCCAATCAGTAATGCATGGGTTTCATGTGTTCGTTTGGGTAGAACCATGCAAATAATTTTATGTTAATTTAGCTAACTGTGCATCCATAGTGGTTGGTATATAACACAGATACAGCCCGGGGACAAGCAATTCATTAATTGTATGCCCAATGTCCTAAAATAAAGAATTGCTTACATTTTTATTGGCTTTGTGTTGGGAGTGATGACATGCAAATGCCTTCTATTTTAAAAAGGCAAAGCCAAAAGTGTACCTTGCAGTGCCTTAGGAAAGGGGATTTTCAGTTCATTTTGCCCTGCCTCACTAAGATAGTTATTCTAGTCTGGTATCGCCCCCTTCCCCAAAGCCCAATTTTGTAATGGCCAGGGTTCTATAGCATGCAATGATCGGGGCAAAACTGACTTAATCAAACATATGCTAGTATGAATGAATGTCTTTAAACTTAGGTTGTATCTGTGCTGTGCACCGAAGCTCTATTTTTTGCTTTTTATTCCATGCTTCTGTGTGCAATAGAAGCTATATTACAAACTTGGATAGCTTGCTTCGACCACAAACTGCTTAGGAGATGGCCTCTTGATTGACGGCTCTCATCTCGCTGTCCTGTACTTTCCAGACACAAGCGAAGGAAGGGGGACACTTGCACAGGCACTAGAACTGAAAGGGGAGCCTTGTGTCTGGAAAATGCAGGGGCAGTGAGATAAAAGCTGGCAGTCCAGAGTCTTGCTTTGTGGAGCATGATCAGAAATGAAGAGGCGTGAACTGTCAAAGTCTTTCTCCAGCACACAGAAGAATGGGATAAAAAGCAACATACTCTGTGGGAGTTAGGTGACTGAGCTGTGAAACTAATACAAGGTGAGGCTTTTTCTTTAAGTAGGCGTGCCTACAATACTATAGTCAAGAAATGCTCGTATTCATTTCCAAAAAATGTATATAAATATAGAATTAATATATATGATATATACCACAGAGATAGAGGTGTCCATTATGATTTGGATCACTATATGTTATAATACAGAGGACTCTCCCTCCTCGTACAGCTTCCCAGTAATGAACAGTTGTCCCCATTGTTTACATTTTTTATCATTTTCATGAAATAATTTTGGTTACTACTTGTACTATGTAGGACAGGGACTTCCCTTTTCATGAGCAATATAGTGGATGAAATCTTCTGTGGAAATACCCTTTGCCTTTTAGCATCAGCCACAATCTCAACCCAACTTAGAACTTACCATACCGATAGGATTGCTCTCTGGGAGAGCTACAGTGCTCTATATAGAATGATATATTGTATGTAGACTGCCAGGACAAAGTACATCTGTTCCTTGAAGTGTGGGCCTACTATTAAAGTGGAAAGTCCCTTTATTTAAATCAATCCCTGGTGTCTGTATTGCTGCCCAGCTCTTAAAATAGCTAGTAGTTTTTTTTATATTCTGACCATGCCTGTTATTTGTTAATGCTGATGCTGCTCTTGTTTAATTTCCTTTAACATTCAGTGTGCTACTAGCAATGTTTGTTTTGTACCAGGACAGAGACTGCAGTGTTAGTCTGCCCTTTGTTCAGGCTGTGCAGCTCCACTGCTGTACTGAAGTGGTGACCTTTGCAGTAAATGCTATCTGTGCACATTAAGTCCTGTTACATGTAACTATTTACCAGATACATAAGCAGTTTAGGGCACTTGTGGAATGTCAGTTACGTTGTTTCATTTGAAAGTACTGCAGTCATTGAAAAGCTGTCCTGTAATCTTCAAGCATTTTCCTAGACTTCATTATGTGAACCCAATTTTTAGTTGTATTCTATTAGCTCTTTGATAAGAGCCTCGGTCATATTTGTGTAACTCCAACATGTTCTCTCTCCTCTTAGTTTATATTTAAACCTAGTGCTCGGGAATGTGAATGTCACTCTTCTTAGTAATCAAGCAAAGTAAGTATGAACTTTACTAAATTCCATTTGTCTTCTTGTATACAAAATCTTCACAAACAGTTTCTACTTGTTCTGCGTTCCTAGCTATGCCGCATTCCCTTATAACAGTATCTCATCACTTCTTATAAGAGAACCCCAAGCAGGGACAGCTAGAAATTCCATACAAGTTTGCATTTCAATGTTCTGGGAAATTCACAATCCAGCATTAATCTGCAGTTTCTTATATTCAGAAATGATGCAATAAAGTAATACCTGCACTGATAGAAATATGGAAGCTGCTAATGCTGACCGACTTCTGAAAATGTTAGTTGCCTGGCTGATGGACATCATAATTTTATGCGTTACTGATGTGAACAGGTATGGATCAGGGGTTCTGATTTCACTCTGATCCACCTTGCTAAATTTGTTCCAGGTCAATTACTCAGGTTTCCTTAAAGAATAAACACATTCAGATGTAAACTCCATATATTTCCTTGCCGGAAACCTTCTTTAATATGTTTGTTAGGCTTACAGATTGGTAGGTTGCAGTAATACTTTGTACATAGCGGTATCTCAGGACAAGGCAGTCTCCAATGCCATTTATGACTAATGATCATTTAACAAAGGGTAACTCGCATTAATGCGTTGTGGGTTTATTATTAATTATTTTTAACTGACACTGAATAGTTTTTCAGGTTGTGACAGTGGATCCTTGCTCACTTGAGAGTTTTACTAGGCCTTGCATGTTTTTTTCGTTATATAATCAAGTATTAACACATTTTCTTTATACCAGAAATTGGGAACTTGAGCTTTGATATGTGACACATAAATGTCAGTGACATGGCATTCTTTGTGCGCCACTGCTGATAACAAATAGGTGTTCTTCCTTCTGCCCCAAGTCAGCACATAGTCCACATAAAGCCACACCAAGTGCTGTAAATGTTCTACATTATTGCACCATGGCTGTTCTCTTTATTTAGCTGTGTGCTATGACTGACATTAGACACTTATAGAAGTAGTAAGGAGTCAGCAAAAAGAAAAAGCCGTGTGAATATCACACAGTAGGGGTCACTGAGACTCTGCTTTGATCATTTGGATCCTAAGTAATTGATTAAAAATTGTGCATGTATGTATACATAAATAATGTGTGTATGTATGTCTATAGTTTGGTTTTAGTCTGTGCTCTAAGTTCATTGTTGTGGCCTTTACATTTTTATTTTAGGTTTGCTTACAAGGATGAATATGAAAAATTCAAGCTTTATTTAACAATAATCTTGTTACTTGGAGCCATAGCTTGTAGGTTTGTGCTTCATTACAGGTGAGAAATTCTTCTTCTGATCACAGCATTGTAATATTTTATCGTGCAGATGAAATGCTTTACGTAACACAAATGTAGACATTAGTTCATAAATACATCAGTCAAGCATTGCATTTCCAGCTTCCATAGTTATATAAATCTAGCTTTTCTCGCCGGCTCTTGTCATTTTAGGAACTGATTTTAACAACCTTGCTTACGGCCTTATAGGAGTGAAAACTCCCACAATTCAATACAACTTTTCTTTATTTGTAAAAAAAAAAAAAAAGTTTGCAAAATTTTATCAGATCACATGGCCAAAACTGTCTGGTAAAGTCCAGAAAATGTTTATAATATTTAGCGGCATCTTATTTAACAAGCAATGCATGCAGCATTGCATCTTTGATCTAACTAATAGTTTAAACAACAAAGGTCATTGATCAGAAACAATTTGCAATATTTGGTAGGACCTCCTGATGATTTGTAACATCGATTTCCACGTTTGCAGTCCAATTTGAGAACACCCCACTGTATGCTTTTCATGTGTTCATAGTCACACAGCACGCCTGGCAATATTTTCTAAAAACGTAACTTTTTAGATGTGTCTGTGTGACAGAAAACGGTCTGTAACCATAGATAGATTAGGGACAAACTGAGTATACGATGCTTCTAGATTTTAAACCGTTTGCTAGAACAGTGTTAAGATCTACAAATATTTTACTACTGATAATGAGATCTGCCTGCACAGTATAGACTGAGTGATGTTTACTGTAACCTGCCCAGCTCCCCATGAGTTCTAGAGCATGTATTGTGCGAGCAACAACAAATGTAATGCTTTCTGAGTGTAAAATATGTAAATGTAACAAATATAAAATGTGTTAACCCAGTTTAGCTGCAAAAGTGAAAATACACTTTGTAACCAAATGCTTGATAAGATCTGAGTAGCCGTTGGGACATAGTTTGACTTGCTCCTGCATACAAGTCTGTTTCTGTACATTTGTGGGATGTCACAGCATTTCAGTTGGACAGAAATTCTGTTGTTGAGCCAGTCTGCTTTGGATGTACTTCTGCATTTTTAGTCAGTGCAGGACCCAGTTTATTCTTCATTTTAATTTAGACAAATTCACTGACACAGATTTTTTTTGTTTATTGGTTCCTTTCTTTTTGTAGTTATAAGTAACCTTCAGGCCTAAAAGGTGCATGATAACGTGTGCAAAGAATAAAAAAAAAAAAAAATGGTTCAAAGGGCTATGAACTGCGTGTCTCTTCACTGACAAATATAATATGCAGCAAGCAATATCAGATTGAAGTTGAACCCCTAATCTGCATACTTGTTCTAGACCAGTCTCTCGGAAAGTGACAAAAGCATTGGATCAGAATGACAGCTTGTAGTGCGCATTTTCAGAAACAGAAAAGCCATCAGGGGCAGTTTTCATATTCCCTCATTACATGGTTGTGTTTGACTAATCAATTAAAGAACTTACAATTTAGGTCTAATTTAGGCTCCATTTACACATGAGCTGCTGTCTGCACGTATACGGCTCTATGGATACGCGCAAAGCCGCTCTAAACAAAATACAATGTACTTTAATGTGCATTGTTCCAAATTATTGCGGGGACTGCATGGTACGAAACCGTATGGCCTCCGAAATAGTACAAGCCCGATAATCCTGCTGATTCTGCGCGTTCGCAGCTATTAGCCACAAAACGAACGGCATCATGCGGATTAAATATTTGATCAATTTCGTCCTGCACGGTCTTACGTGCGGGAAACACAAATGCTATATTTGAATGGAGCCTTAGACCAATCCATTCAAGTACCTCAACTAACAAAAATGTATCATTTGTGTATCACTCTGAATTGGTGCTGACACTCTCCTTCCTTCTGCTGGGTGGCTACTTTTGTTCCCCATGGTCCCTGTGTGTGGTGTAAAGTAGTCACTGCTCCAAGCTCACTCCCGTGATGGACTGCAATCTCAATACAAATTGGTAAAGTAAATGTAAGATTGTAGTCCATAACAGGAGCGGATTCGCATTCCTGCAAAGCATGATGTACTTTCACCACAGCTGGAGGGCCGAGTTTGCATACCCGTTTTGGTTCATGGGTGAGTTCTATACCTGCCCTTTTTTATTCTTCTTCCTGTGTTCATTTCACACCAAATAATGTTCACACACAGATTTTCTATTTTGTCTCCTAGAGTGACAGATGAAGTCTTCAATTTCTTGCTAGTCTGGTACTATTGCACATTAACTATCAGAGAAAGTATCCTCATTAGCAATGGATCACGGTGAGTGCCAAAACAAAAGTAAAACCATATGGGGGTTCAATAATGAAAGCTTGAGGTGGCAAAAAAATTAAGCAATTTGACAGACCCTGGAAACTGGTAGTTTTCTACTAAGACACTACATGCTTTGAGGGCTGCCATTGCATGATGGTATCTTAAGTGCCTTGGCATCCAAAAGCTGGTAAAAGCCTCTATTTATTTATTTCAAATTTTTAAAGCTTTAAACTGTCTTAATAGCCTTTCATCTCTGGGAATTCTGTTCAGGCGTTTTTTAAACTTAGTGACACTAAACTCAGGAGTTAAACCTTAAAAATCCATTCAAGTACCTTACCTATTAACATAAATGTATCTTATCTGCGTATCACTCGGCTGTAGATCCTCAAATCATCTCTGAATTGGTGCTGACACTGTCCTTCATCCTGGGGGGTGACTACTTTGTTCCCCATGGTCCCTGTGTATGTTGTAAAGCGGTCACCGCTCCAAGCTCGCTCCTGTGATGGACTACAATCTCAGGTTTAGTTTAGTAATCTGTATTGAGATTGTAGTCCATCACAGGAGCGAGCTTGGAGCGGTGACCGCTTTACAACATACACAGGGACCATGGGGAACAAACATAGCCACCTTCCAGAAGGAAGGACAGTGTCAGCACCAATTCAGAGATGATTTGAGGATCTACAGCTGAGTGATGCAAAAATAAGATACATTTTTGTTAATTGTTAATGTACTCAAATGCATTTTTAAGATTTGACTCCTGAGTTTAGTGTCGCTTTAAGTTTGAACCTACCTTTGAGAACCATTAGCCTTATATTCATTTCCTATGGAAAAAATAAAGGACAAAACAAGAAAGAATTGCACTTCCCTGTTTTTTTTTCACCAGCGCATTTTTTATGTAGTTCATGCAACCCCTGATATTTACCCCCAAAATATCATCAAAGGGTCTTCTGATTTATAAGGATTTTATATAAAGGGGCTTTTATGTAACCAAGTGCAGTGGAAACATTTGCCATTGAGTTAAGAGCTTCCACCCTTCCATGTTGTCACGTAGGGTTAAGTCGGGTTTGCATGTAGAGGAATAAGCAACCTGTTGCCATTTTCAAAAGTTGTGAATGGTATCGCGAATGCCCTTCCTGTTAAAAAGGGAAGTCTGGTGAGAGAGAGTGGGGAGCTGAGAGACAGACAGAAAGGTCTGTGTGTGTGGCTGCTCAGACGCCTGTGGAGTTGATCTAGGTGAGATCACCAAAACGCACTACGCTGTGCAGGACTGTTGAAAGACTTTTTGCTTTATGTTTGCTGTGGAAAGCCTTTTACTTTGCCGTTTTGCTGAAGAAAGCTATTTGTTCTGTTACCGTTGGATTAAATAAAAGCTGCTAATTTTTATCGGACTGTGTTGCAGACACATGTGTACCCCTGGGGTTCCCCACACTACATTTTTTCACCTATAATGGCGATCTATTGCTCTATCTTCTCAGTTAGCAGAGCACTAGATAACATTTTCTGCAGGGGAATGCAGGACTTGGCTGAATCATTTTCCTATAAAATCATAATGCCAAATAATTTTGACTTTACTGTGGTGGAGACCACCCTTATTGAAAGTTCTGTGTTAGAATTGCAACAGCTCCTGGGATAAACAAATGTAATGCCAACACAGTTTTAATACTTGGAAGGTTGTAGATATCGCCTATTGCACATTTATTAACCTGCTGTTTAGACTTGGCTTTGGGCAAGCTACCTAATGTACAGATGTAATACACATATGGGATGCAATTTCCCTACCAAAGGTTTTGCAATTCTGAAGAGCAAGTTTTGAGATCCTGCCACCTGTGCCAGACTGCACAGACAAATCCTCAATCTCCACTGTAGAACCTTAGCTCAGCTTGGCAAAGAACACATCCCTAGCCTCACTAAGTGGCCAGTGAAAGAGCGGTAGCAGATGGATAAAGTAATCCTTCTGCTCCCTCCATTCTTCCTTTTTTCCTTTGCTTGTTCCAGGTCAGTGACCATAAAACGTGCATTAGTATTTTTTTTTTCTGTTCTTTCCTTGGACTTCTGCTTTACTGTCCTTTTTTATTCTGTGTGTTTCAAACACTTTACATATCAGTCATTTGTTTTTCTAAGCTTAATGATTTTATTAAGGAGATATTTCTTCTATAGATGGATCCTTATACCTGATGTTTACATGTTCTTTTGTTCTAATAGTCTGTTATCAACAGGTCATTGTTCAGTGTTGTACGTTTTATAAATAATTGTTTTTATTTTAACGCTTTGTTTTTTTCAGAATAAAAGGATGGTGGGTGTCACATCATTATGTATCTACTTTTCTATCTGGCGTGATGCTCACGTGGTAAGTTAAAGAACGTGGCACTTTCTGGAAGTAGTAATGTTTGTGACATGGCTAGAAATGTTCTAGCAATAGAGGAGTCGTCTGACCACATTTTTGTGAGCTGAACTGCTTCAGGTAAACATGCAGACAAAGATGCATTACATACAGTATCTCACCGAAGTGAGTATACCCGTCACATTTTTGTAAATATTTTATGATATCATTTCATGTGACGACACTTTGCTACAATGTAAAGTAGTGAGTGCACAGCTTGTATTTCAGTGTACATTTGCTGTCCCCTCAAAATAACTCAACACACAGCCATTAATGTCTAAACCGCTGGCAACAAAAGCTAGTACACCCCTAAGTGAAAACATCCAAATTGGGCCCAATTAGCCATTTTCCCTTCCCGGTGTCATGTGACTCGTTAGTGTTACAAGGTCTCAGGTGTGAATGTGGAGCAGGTGTGTTAAATTTGGTGTTATTGCTCTCACTCTCTCATATACTGGTCACCATACAGCGGTTTAACAGGACAGGTTCCACTCGGAACAGGCCTCGCCATGGTCGACCAAAGAAGTTGAGTGCACGTGCTCAGCGTGTACTCACTTCGGTGAGATACTGTATGTGTAAACTGTCCTACCTGCCAAAGTGTTCATCCGCCCCTTCCACACTATGAATGTAGATGCTACACCTCTGCTCGTAGCCTGCAGCTGTTTAGTTTTTTGCATCATGTCTCCAAAATAATGCACTATAGCTACATTCAAACTATACCTTGTGATAATGCACCTGCGTTATAATTCAGAGGGATCATATATGGAAGGTACTGAAAATCAGACTTGACACCCCCCTTTTTTTTTCTTTAAGCAGTGCCACTGTAACAGTGTTTTTGGATGCTAACCTAAATGAATGCACTACAATGCACACCTCACTGTAGTTTGCGCATTAACATGCATTGCTGTAATGTGCGATGAATTGTGTGCTTTACAGCGCATTCCTGCAATGCATTAATGTGAATACAGACTTAATGTATAGTATATTGTCACTATATGAAAACCTAAATGAAGGAAAGTGGAGCTGCTGCCACAGCAAAAGGGCAGTGTTTCCTTCAACCTGGTATAGAAACGATGGCAGTTCTCCTTGTTGTCAGCATTATTTTGTTTTATTTAAAAGGTGTAACACGGGTAAAAGGAGCTAATGCATGTATCTTTTATCTATCTAGGCCAGATGGGCTAATGTATCGGATGTTCCGCAATCAGTTTCTTGCATTTTCAATATTTCAAAGTAAGTAGATGTATTTTCTGGCCAGAGCATTACATTCGGGGTCCTCTCCCACCTGCGTGCATGCATTGTTCATGCAGTTTAAAAAGCGCATTGATGCTCCTTATGTTATAGGAAGTGATGGGGGGGACTTTCAAGAATATTGATTTTGGGTAGTGCAGATATGTTACAATGCGAAAAAAATTAGAGGGGCACCAATATGAAAATTTCAAAACCGAAATAAAAAAGTCAGGCCGAAACGGAAAATGTTTCTTCAACTTTTTTTTAGTATTTTTTTTTTTTTTTTTTTTTTTAAAATTTTTTTTTTTTTTTTTTTTTTTTATTACTACAACTACATCTATGAATGAACAAGAGGTGATGTAGAACACTCCCATTTATTCATAATTGAGGATACAGTAAACGTACTATGTCCTCAATTATGTACAAACACTCAGCGATCGCTGAGTGTTTTTACCCGTTCTCCTTCCTGACACGATGTCACAGGAGGCTGAGCAAGCGGTGCAGGGAGGAGAGCTCAGCCTTCTGTGACAGCGCTGGCTGTCTCCGCCCACAAATTCAAAATATTAACAACATACAATGCCATCTACAACTCAGCCCCTAGCTACATCACCAAGCACATTTCAGAATATCACCCAAACTGTCCTCCCCACTCCTCAAGAACTCCAGCTCTCCTCACCTCCTCCCATGCTTGCCTCCAGGACTTCTCCATAGCCTCTCCCATCCTCTGGAACTCCCTACCCCAATCTCTCCACCTAATCTCTCCACCTATCTCCTAATCTGTCCGCCTATCTCCTACTGATAGTGAATTGGCTTGGTTAGAATAAAGAGGCAGAGGCCATTAGAGGAGGGGAAGCCATTTTGAAAGAGAGACCTGCTGGAGAGGAGTGTTCTGAGCACAGAGAAAAACCCATGGCATGTGTGAATGAGAGAGAGAGAATGATTTTGCTAGCTGAAGGATCCTAACCTCAATTCCTATCCCTACTGCCTCCCTCCAAATCCCCTCTCCATTTCCCTTAATTGCAATTAGAATGTATGTATATCCCTATTTGTGAATAAACTCAAACACTTATTTAAGATTCAGTTGTCCGTCAGTAATTCAATGCACCCCAAAGCAGAGCACATTCTACACCTATTCTGTCCAAATTTTAGGTGATCCTTGAGAACTCATCTCTTCAGTGGAAGCCTATACCACCTCACCATAATAAATGTCCTTCCACTTCTTCCATTAACTCATCCCACACAAATGTTACCTTTTTGTATCACCTGCCACTACTACTAGATTATAAGCTCTCATGAGCAGGGCCCTCCTAACCCTCCTGTATTGAAATGGTATTGTCGCAGCACGATCACTTTTCATTTTGTAAATCACTGCGCAAACTGTGCAATACAAATCCTGTATAATATTCATAAAGGACAGGAGCTGTTCTGTGCATATGATAGGTTTCACATGGGAATCGGCCAAGGATTTTGCACTCCGTAAGCACACTTGGTGCCAAAAAAATGAATCTGTCAAATGTCAGGGAATGTAAACACACAATTTTTAATAGTGTTTCTTCCCAAATAAAGGGATGTGTAATGCATTGCTCTGGGTTTGTTGCCTTCCATATTTGTCAGGATTCCAGGCTCTAGCTTTCTTAAAGGATAATTAAAGCCTCAATTTTTTTGCATAGATCTGCTGGCAAGCAGTAAATCTATGCAAAAAGTGTAAAAAAACAAACAAAAAAAACCCGCTTTAACAGAGGTTAATACTTACTCGTGTCTTCCCTGCGCGCTCCCGTCCGAAAATGTGAAGATCCTCAGGCGGCCGCAAAGCATCTTGGGGCGGGCACATGAACAGATCACATTTACGGCTGGGACGCGAGGAGAGACGCAAGGTAAGTCTATGGACGCTTGAACCCGCATGCAGACACCGTGGAAAAGGAAGTGCCAACAAGCTCAGAGGAGTCAGCGCTGGATCGGAGACCTGCCGCACCGCTGGAGGGACAGATCAAAACGACAGGAAAGAAGATGGGATTGCCGTCCGCCTGTTGTAAAAAAACGGACGGATGGCACTGCTGCATTGGCGGGTTGCCGTCTGCATTTTTTTTAATGCTCTCGCGCGCCCCCGGGCAGAGAAGACCCGTGCTCTATAGCCTGCTGATCGTCTATATGTGCTCGTTTTTTCGGTCCCCATCTGCTGCCGCCGATTTTTCGCATTGCCGCCCCCCCCATCCCCCCATCATTCAATCCCGGGATCCGCTGCCCCATCTGCGGCCCGGGACCGGCTCGGGAGGGCGTCAAGAGGAAGGAAGATCAGCTCCTTACTGATCTCCCTCCGGGCTGTGAATGCAGAAGTGATGTGTATTAAATCACTTCCGCATTCACCTGTCAGTCATCTGGCTGCTATAGCCAGAGAGAAGAAGCTGATGAAGCAGATCTCTTGGGGTAATTATATTTTATTATTTAATATAGGGGAAACAGGTTTTTTTTTTGTTGTAGAATTTTGGTAATTTTTCCTTTTTTAATATAGTAAAAAATAAAACCCCCATAATGAATAAATACCACCAAAAGAAAGCTCTATCTGTCCCCAAAAAATGGTATACAATTCATTTCAGTACAGCGCTGCATGACGGAATAAATGTCAGTTAAAGTACCGCAGCGCTGAATACTGAAAAATGGCCTGGATGGGAAGGGGGTTTAACACCCTGGATGTCAACTGGTTAATGTCACTTTAAACCTTAGCATAGTACCAGTATTATATTGCTATTAGGCCACAGCCATGCTAAGAAATGGCAGGTACACTTGATATTACAGCAAGTAATATGATATCACATGCTGAAATGTAAAAAAAAAATCATTGGTGAGGTAATTTTTGGTGCACAGGTTTTTGGTTCAGAAAGTTTCAACACATAATACAGTAGCCCCACTCAAGCGGCGGCCATATTGAGTGGGGCACCTGAGATAAATAACGTGCTGGATTACTAGCTAACGAAGGGAAGGGAGGAGGAGTCTGGTGATGTCACGGACATCGACGTCACCGGACTCCTCCCCCCTTCCCTTTGTTAGCCGACGGAGCCACTTGGGGAAGGGGGGAGGAGTCCAATAACGTCGATGTCGGTGACGTCAACGGATCTCCGACGAGACTCCCGGAAGCCGGCAGAGAGGTGAGTTTTCATTTTTGATCAAAAGAATTTTAATCGATCAAAACTTTTAACGATTAATCCAGAAATTAATCGTTAATTTCCGCAGCCCTACAAAAAATATATATAATCCTGAAAGTGCCATAAAATGGTCAGATGATCTGACTGTCCCACTTAATATTTTATTGTGTTGCTTCCACTACAGCAAAGATTGGGACAGAATTGTATAACAATATTGGCTACAGTGCAATCCTATAAAAAGTAAGGCACATTGGTTAGTAGTCATTGCTACAGATGGGTGGGGGGAAAGTTTGCATTCCACTTTGAAGGGAAACTGTAATGTGTGACAGCCACCTCCCAACTCTGTTATTCTTATCTCAACATTGCTGCTTGTTCCTCTGTGGCAGCGGCTGTAAAATATCATACTGTTCGGGCCTGAGCTTTGTATCATAGAAGTCACTTGCTACCCCAATTGAAGAAGGCGAGTGCAATTGTGGAGTAACTCTGGAGTCTGAACTTTGTGAAATGTCACTTGCGACATTTCAATTAAGTTCTAAAAACTTCAGCACTGTCTCTCTCATCGCATGTCATCACACACCAACACTATTACCAGGGCTTGAAAAATTTGATGGTGTCTCACCAGTCAGTCAAAAATGTCACCAGTCAGCATGACCGGACTATAGCCTTTCAATTTATGTTAACATTTTTGGGGACAGATAGAGCTTTCTTTTGGCTGTATATTATCACCATTGGGGGGGTTATTTTTTACTATATAATGAAAAAGTACAGTAAATTTCGAATAAAAATTTTTTCCCCCCTACGTTATATTAAAAATCTATTCTTACCCATATTTTTGGTAAAATATAAAAGATGGGGTCACGTCAGGTAAATAGACACCAAACATGTCAAGCCTTAAAATTGCATGCGCCCGCAAAATCGCAAAAAAACTACCACACTGAAAAGTGCCCATAGGTGACGCTTTTACTGCTCATCAGTTTTAGTGTTATCAGTAATGGCCCTAAAATTATTGCTCACACTCCGACGTTCGCGGTTATATGTAACGTGTGGCACAATAGGCGCAATCGTTGTAGGCGCACCCGACGCATATCTGCATGTGTATGTGGGGGGCGGAGGACTTTAAAAAAAAAATTCTTTTTTTAATGCTTCATTTTTTTTGATTCTTTAATTTTTGTATTTTTTTTTAACACAACTTTTGGCTTTCACATAGTGGGGCTAAGAAGCCTCCTATGTGATAGCCAATTTACATGGCAGGTCCTCTTTATGAAGACATCAGGGGTTTCCAAGACCACTAATGTCACCTAGGGACCCCCAGAGAAGCTGATGAAGCAGAGATCTGCTTCATCAGCTTCTGAAGCTGGAGTGTGACACTGAATGCAGCAAGTGATGTAATATACATCACTTCCTGCATTCCTGGACTGGAGAGTAGATCAAAGGGAGATTGTGTACTGATCTCCCTTTTGATCTCCTGTCACAGAGCCGTGCCGGTCCCGGCCGCATCGAGCACAGCGGATCTCAGGACCGGCAACGGCAGTGACAGCTGCTGGTAATACAAGCGATTGGGCGTCTCGAGACGCTCGATCGCTTGAATGTAAATCTCCCGGCCGGCCGTGTAATTACAACGGCCGACCGGCAAACTGCTCGTCGGGCTCCGCCGTCCTCTCGCCACAGACGAGCGAACAAGTGGATTTTTCAAGCCCTGACTATTACACTTTGTGAAAGGACCTTGGGGTCAATTCACAAAGCTTATTTTCTTCATTTCGGCCGTTATTTCATTGATATCGCTTGTTATATAGTTGCTGTTTTAGAAGATATCTGTGCTCATTCCAAAAATAAAACTACATACAGCAAGTTGATGTACTTACCAACTGTAAGGTCTAAATGGTTTCTCTCTCCTAATGCACGTAATCTGTATAGAGAGCCACTTTGATAGTAATATTGTAGAAACTGTACACAGCCTGCAAAACAAGAAGAATATTTAGACAATAAAAAGGCCTGAGATACAATATCTGACAAAAATTGATACTGAATTCCTACAGAGCAAAATCAGTCTATTTTATATAATCCAAAACACACACAAAAAAAAGGAAGTGCGCTACTATAGATAAAAAGGTATACATTTTATTTTATAATTTGCCCTGCTTTAAAATACACTCACAATGATTCTGGTAGAAAAAAATATTGCAAAGTTGTTGACAAATAAAATAAAGTTTTTTTTTTAATATTGTTTTTTTAAAGCAACATAAAATAAAAAATGATATATAGATAGAATCGCACAAGACTAATGAAAAGACCTTTAAATATTATTGGTCAGAAAGGTCCAAAGTCCACCATTGGTTACAATTGGGTTGAACTGGATGGACCTTTGTCTTTATTCATTCTCACCTACTATGTAATACATATCATTTTAGGGGTACAAACAAGGCTTAAAACATGGCATCACATACAAAATGCACCGTTTTGGAACCTTATATGGGGGTCAATTCACAAAGCTCAGCGTTATGAGAGTAGAAGTTAATTTATCTATCCTTATTTTACCACTCTTTATTTTACTGGCTGAAACATGCAATTCACAAAAGCCGGAATCGTTAATGCACACGCAGTTTAACGTTCCTTAAGCAAGTGTTATTTTAACATCACAGACTTTATTTTATCTATTGCTGTGATAAAATAACGTTTTGGGTGTTATTTTAACACTTTTGCAGTGCATTTTGGTAGCAGAAGGGGTGGAGCAGATGCTTAAATTACTGTTACTTTCACCTTCACCACACAAAAGGATTCCACATAAATTTTTGGGGTACAAACAAGGCTTAAAACATGGCATCGCATACAAAATGCACCGTTTTGGAACCTTTATATGGTCCTTTCACAAAGTGTAATAGTCAGGGCTTAAAAAATACACTTGTTCGCTCGTCTGTGGCGAGAGGACGGCGGAGCCCGACGAGCAGCTTGCCGGCCGGTCGTTGTAATTACACGGCCGGCCGGGAGATTTACATTCAAGCGATCGAGCGTCTCGAGACGCCCAATCGCTTGTATTACCAGCAGCTGTCACTGCCGTTGCCGGTCCTGAGATCCGCTGTGCCCGATGCGGCCGGGACCGGCACGGCTCTGTGACAGGAGATCAAAGGGAGATCAGTACACGATCTCCCTTTGATCTACTCTCCAGTCCAGGAATGCAGGAAGTGATGTATATTACATCACTTCCTACATTCAGTGTCACTTTCCAGCTACAGAAGCTGATGAAGCAGATCTCTGCTTCATCAGCTTCTCTAGGGGTCCCTAGGTGATATTGGGGGTCTTGGAATGTCTTCATAAAGAGGACCTGTCATGTAAATTGGCTATCACATAGGAGGCTTCTTAGCCCCACTATGTGAAAGCCAAAAGTTGTGTTAAAAAAAAAAGTAATACAAAAATGTAAAGAATCAAAAAAAATGAAGCATTAAAATTTTTTTTTTTTTTTTTTAAGTCCTCCGTGACTCATTGTTCACACACCATTCTTATTGTATTTCTTACCCTTTTTCTGTTAAACACAATCAAATTTAGATTGAACCAAAAAACAGTATCCCAATTGTAGCTTGTGTCATGCTGACACTTAATAGAATTAGTTAAATGACTTGTAAGTATAAATACAGTGCAGATATCCCTGTAATTGTACCGCAGAAGCTGTGTTTTATATGGGAGAGGGGGGGGGGGTCTCTCTACAGGGGGTTACATCTCTTCTTATCTTCTAGAGGGCTTTCAGTCATGGATGTGGCGAGGACTGACCTTTCTTCTCCCCTTTCTCTTCTTTGGCCATGTAAGTGCTATTTTGTACCCCGTGTACACTTGTCTGTTTGAATATGCAAAACGTATAACTACATATGGTTTTCCTCAAAGTACTGTATGTTCAATAAATTATATGACCCTATGTAAAGAAAAACTCTGCTACTGGCTTTATAGAGTTGCGGAACCTCAAGACATTTCAAACACTCTGACATATAAGGCAGAGTAAAGGGAAATCGGAGCAGTGTGTGTTCATTCCTCCTTAGCATGCCATAGCTGTCAGTGGTGAAGTAGGATACAGGCACAACGTAACAACTACTAAATTACATGTTAGTGATCCTTTGGCTTTGGAAATGGAGACAAAGCAGCACAGTTTTGTTTGTGATCTGCTCAGCTTTGCAATTACAAACCATAAAAGATACTGTTTTTAATTGCAACCTTCTTCTTTAAATTAGGGGGTGTCCTGTACAAAAATAAAGGGCTGTGTTGACATCAGCTGTCATTTTTCTAGAGCAAGTGTTACACTAATACTGGACTCGGGTTAGTAGGTAACACTTGCACTTGTAATACTTTTTAGTGTCTGTGTATATTTCAATTATTTATCACGGTTGTGCTCTTTACAGTTTTAGTTCATGACATCCTCACCTAGGGAATTCCCCAGCAGGTTCATTGATCCCGTGGTCAAGGTTCATTATTATTATGAAAGAAGGAACCATTAGTGCTGTCCATGTATTTCCATGCTGCTTTTTTTTTTTGAACAGCAGAGTGCAGTGCGGAGTCACAGAAAACAGTAGCTGTCCCTGGTAGCTTTGCACTGTGTAATCAGTAGACTTGATGAAGATCAGACTGTGCACATTAGTAACCATCCTTCTCTTTCCCCAGTTCTGGCAGCTGTACAATTCAGTCACACTTTTTGAGCTGTCTAGACACCAAGCATGCAAAGAGTGGCAGGTAATGTACACTTCTTCACGACTTAACACAATGAATTGCATCATTCATACTTCTGTGTCTGAAAACAATGGGGGGAATTTATCAAATCTTGAGCAGCTGTGCATGGCAACCAATCAGCTTCTATCTTTCATTTTCAAATCTCAACTGAACAAACTGAAGAGATAAGCTGATTGGTTGGCATGGACAACTGCTCCAGACTTTGTGTGCTCCAGTTGTGATAAATTCCCCTCAGTGGTTTTTACTTTTTTTGTGGATGGATTTTACATGTGCTTTATAGGTTCATCACAGTGTAATTGTTTTTCTCTTACATACACATTAACCACTTACCTACCTAACATAAACCAGCAAGCATGCTTTTTCAGAAACAAAAGCATGAGTGTAGGGCTGCAGCTAACGGTTATTTTCATAAATGATTAGTTGTCCGATTTTATTTTTATAACTAATTGGCTCCATTAAACAAAAATCTCTCTCCTCTCCCTCTCTCTCCCTCTCCTCTCTCTCTCTCTGAAATCCTTGCGCTTGCTCATTTTTGCAGCTTCCAACACATCAACTTCAGGGAAAAAATGTTGACTTGCTGCCTAATATATCCCACCCACTTCCAGGTGCCATTGTAATGAGATAACCAATGTTATTCACTTCACCTACCAGTGGTCATAATGTTATGGCTAATCGGTGTATATGTACTGTATGTATGCTCCGTCCAAAAGTTGACAATAAAATGCTGATGCTTTGACCTACCCGTGAGTGCCTCTATACCTATTTTTCTGTATGAGCACCCGGGCACTTACCTTACAAATAGACTACGATGGTTACCCCAGAACAGATGGATATATTACGCACACGCGCTAACTATTGAGATCCTGAGATTGTTGCCTGGATTTCCACATTCCTTCGTTGTGCTCCCCCACCAACCTGTTCACCTGCTGTAACCCTGAACCTAATCCCTTTGCAAGCTGTTGGGCACTATTGGTGTTCATGCAGGGTTTATTATCTTGTTACCTTCCCCACATGACAGTGTTTGGGCCGACTATAGGCTCTCAAACCGAGCGCTGCATATTGAGAGGAAAGGGGAAAAGTCATTGTATTTTTCATACTTGGAAGTCCTAAGTATTTGTGAGGGCTCTGAAAGATGAACAGAAGAGTGGGGGAGCATGGCGAAGGGGCATATCAGCAGGAGACGTTTTTTCACAGTGACAGATTCTCTTTAAAGTAATCATGTCATAACTGAAATATGGGAGCAGCCATTGTGTGAGGCACTGACCCAGAACAACTGAAGATTAGGACTTTTCTGGCTGCATGTTGTTTAAGGTCACCAACCAAAAAGTAATGATAGGATTAGAGTGACAACCTTGTAACTTGCACCTTCTATTAGGAGTCATCCATTGCAGTGGCCTCATTTCTGTCATAATGAGTTTTTGATGTTTGCAGGTCTAGTGATTCATTCTTTGTCATAGAGCATTCACTAAATACCATTTTAAATGTCTTTTATTTATTAAAGGTGTGTGAGGTGTAAAGACCGAGATTTGTCACACTTCATAAAAAGTTATATCAGTGGTTTCATCCAGAATGAAAGCTGTAATTGTCACCCAGGTACATGAATCACTCATACCTTGTGCTGCTGCAGATCAGACGTCTGCAGAGTTTATCAAGGGTGGAGCCTGGCTCGGGACCCAGGCGAGGCTGAAGTATGTTGGAGTATTGAGGGCACACCTAGCTAGTACAAACACTTACAGATGACACTTGCTGGAGCCTCCTAGGTTGCAGCCAAGTAGGCGCTGTATCATTGAACTTTCATTAAGACCTTGTTCAGATGTCTCATGTTGGCATTTCCACCAAGAACGTTAGACTCCTCATCTGTGTGGAGTAAATCTATTTGGGGCTTTCAGGTACCCTTCAGTGCATACACAGATACAAGAATATATAGATATCACATTCACTCATTTTATTCTCTATAAAGATGGAATTCAAAAATCATCCCCCATAAAAGCAAGGGTTGTACATTTAATACAAGATGCGTCCATTATCAAACCCACATGTTTTTTACATAAGAACTCCAAGAAAAAAATGTATTAACCCTTGCAGTAGGGCTACCTCTGCACTGCAAAGGGGTTAACGTTCTAGGTAAAAACAAAGTAATAATTGGCAGATTCTCTGAGCTGGTTTGCTCTTAGGCTGGTCCCTGGGGTGTCTCTTCCCCCTCCTCTACAGAGGTCTAAGGTCCCGTAAATCATCACATCTATACACCGTCTTTAGGTGTGAGGATGCTGAGGAAAATCCCACTACTGCAACAGAGGAGGAGACAGGGTGGAGGGAACACTGTGACAGTGGAGGATAAATCCACACTGTACCAATCTCATTCAGCCAGCACCAGGGGCTGTCTGAATATCTGAATAGCGGCAGCATCTGACAATTGTCCACCCATCTCCTTTTGTAATTGAAGTTTGTCGACCTAGTCGTAGTTGTGAGTCTACAGACCACAGTGTGTATGTCCCTCTCTTTCTGCAACTCCGCTGGCTTTAGAAGCAATTGGGAAATCTCTGGTCAGTAATGAGCATTACAAAGGCCTGCAACTGCTCATTCTCACTGGAGCAAATACCTCTAAATCAGCGGTCGCCAACCTTTCGGACCTCATGAACCACTAAAATTAATTTTGTGTGTGTGTGTGTGTGTGTGTGTGTGTGTGTGTGTGTGTATAAGATGCCCCGCCTCCTGCAGAGCCCGCACTGTACTGAGAGCCGCGCATTCCTTGTGACAGCCACTGCTTGAGTCAGTGAGAGGCAGCCCCGGAGCGTCTGTGCCGCTTCAATGATGGCCCAGCCTGCACGGCATCAGAGGGGCCCGGGGACCAGCAAAATTTTCTCAAGGGCCACTTGTTGGCGACCGCTGCCCTAAATGATGCTTCAACCTGTCACGTCGCTATCAAGTTGTACATATTCTCCCCTACAGGGCTAATAATGATAGGAAGCTACTAAGCTAGCACCTTCTGGGAAGCTATCTGCTATTGTCTCTGCTGCATTATTAATTTGGGCTTTTTTTTTTTCTGCATCCTCCAGGTTCTCGTGTTGGCTCTCACTTTTCTTATCCTGTTCCTGGGGAACTTTTTGACGACTCTGAAAGTGGTCCATGCAAAGTTTCAGAAGAATAAAGAAAAGAAACCTTGATGTTAACTAGACCCTGGACTTGACTGTTATGTAGCTAATAAAAAATTACCCAAAATGAAACCTGTTTAACAGAAAAAGGGATTGTGGGAAGCTACAGGTATCCCAACATCTGTAACACTACTGGAGACTGTCTGCAGTCCTCACATGCTGCTTCCTTTTTTCTCTCCAGGAGAGACCACTGACTTTACTATACCAAACCGCTAAGTTTCATCTGCAGTGATAAGACCTTACATGCCACTTGGGGCATCACGGTGTAGTGCTCCACTTTGTACCACTTTAAGGTCTTAAAGTGCTTGTGAAATCACCTGCATATAACTGATGGATTATTGGAGAAGCTTCGTGAAAGTCTGATTCTCATATGCAAAGTCTTAGGTGCATGCATAGCGTGAATAATTATTTGTGTCCTAAACCTTTTACAAATACTGTTTTTGGGAAGAGTGTACAGACCGGCATTCATTTTTATTTTCTGTTCAGTCATTTTGCATCTTAAAACTTGATGACAAATGAATTAATGTGAAAAGGGACTTTTCCTAATGATATGTTTACATAAGGAAATGTTTATGTTGGTGACAATGTGTGGGTTATGACTGGAAAGAGTGCAAAATAAAACAAAATAGTCTTTCATAGAAAAGCGCATTGCTGGTTTTTACTTGGGGAGCCCGGAGTCTGATACTTCAGGAAACTGTAAATGAAAGGAAAAACTTTGAAATAAAAAATGTTGACAGCATGTAATGATGTCTGTAATGTACTGACAGTTGGTGGGTAGGCTCTGTCTTGTGTGTTTCCTAGAGCAAGGAACCTCGTGCCAGCCATATTGTATACCAGTTTCAATAGTAATGAGCCTAAATATTAAAGTACGTTGTTCTGTGTGTGACAAAAATCTTTGGCATCTGTAGAGACCGTGTAGAGATGTTCAAGCACGCCTAATAATCTCCAAGTGATCCATTCAAGAAAAAAGGGCTCTGGAAATATTCAAGCTGGCATCTAAAATGTGTTGATTGTAGCAAAAACAGTCAAGTGACAATTTTTTATTCTATTTCATTTGACAAGTGATCTGCCCTTGTGGAGTGTTACACATTTGTTATACAGGTAATAGAACTACAGAAATGCATTGCAGTCCGTATTGAGTCCAGCTAGGTTAAAATATTTTTGTAGCTCTTTTGGTATGTAATCCACCAGAAAACTCAGCATCACATCTACAGTAAGTATGAATAGTTACTTTTTACACATCATGTGGAATTGGGGGTGGGCGGGGGGTCATGAACAACAAAAAAAGACCAAAAGTTCTAGTTCTTTTGTGCTCCATCCAAAACAAAAAATGACTGAAGTTCTTCTTTAAAGAATCTATTTTTGATATTTTCTTCAGTAATAAACATATTTTTTTATATCATGCATTGAGGGACATGGTGATTCTTAGATGCTTGGTTTATACAGATGCCTTCTGGAGGTGGACAGACAAACCGAGGCAAACAGAAAGAAAGTTACAGACCTGTCCACTATAACTCTGCCCCTAACCATCACGATCCAGCTGAGTTGGCCTCTTTGAAGTTAAGTTGTATGTCAGCTACGTTTGTCCATATGTACAGGGCACTGTGGCTGCGTGCTTGGGATATACATATGTTTAAACAATATCTTATTCACTTGCTTTTTCAGAGAAGGCGTCTCTTTGGTGATACTCTCTAATAGTGGCATGCCCAAAGCTCCGGATTCTTGCTCTGGGCATCTGCTTCACTGTAGGGGACCTGTTCATGACGTGGAAGAATCTTTAGCCTACAGCTGCACAACCTTATAGGTAAGCAAAATCTTTCTCCCATATGGACCACAGATATTACAGTCATAAGCCTTCTGTTTAAAACCCTACCCCCACTTTTACCAGTAGGTTGTTATTTAGCCTAAGTTCTCTTGGAAACTCTACCTTTTAGTTTAATGCTCAGGTTTACCCTTCAGCTTTTACTCGGGTACATGATCTTGCATGTTTCCTTAGTTTCTAGATTTTGGTACCTCCAGTATATGTAATCCTGCATTTTGTAGACTCTCCATGCCTTGGGGCTTTGTCCCCCTATGTTATAGGAGCCTGTCTTGGGGTATTCTTCCCCTTCTCTTACTATATAGATCTAGTCCTCTTCGGATTATTGCACTCTAGTGGTGCTCTTGTCTCCCTCCAGGGAAACTTCTCAACCAACACAGGTATCACCTGTTTTATTGGGTTTCTTCGAGGGGCCAGGTCCGTCACAGCCCCGACTATTACATTCACTAGTGCTCCTAGGTTTCCCATCATGGAATGCTTATAGCTTTTCACTGAGACTTCAGTGTCCATGTTTTTGAAAGCTTGCTGTTGTACTAAGTGTCAGCTCCTCTCTCTCTCGTATAACATACCCTTTCCCATTTATCCTCTAAGGGCTTCTGGGGTTATTGGAACTCTGTTCAGACTTCCCTTTTGTACTGTCCCTCTGCTTGTTTTGTTATCCTAAATTGCAGATTCTGACTTTTGAACAAGACTCCTTTTTATTTGCTGGTTTTGGAATAGGATGGGAATTCCCCCCCTCCTTTTCATCCATAAACCTTTTCTATCTAGACAGATCTGTTTTTCCTGTTCTTGGATCTGGTTCTGTGGAACAGACACCTTTTCAGATCATAAGCAAATTGCTATACGAGTCGGTCTTTAGGTTTACTGTCTGCACTTACTTTCTTCTAGAAGAATTTTAATATTTCCCCCTATCACTACTGAAGTCTGTTTCCTTACGCCAGATGGCATTATCGGTCACACAGGGTATATACACTATGCCATGATGGACTGAAACTCATTTATGGATTCCTACACCTGAACTTCCTTCCTTACACAGAGGGTTCCGTTAACTAGAACTTTTTCCTTCCTCTCATGGAAATTCATTTTGTTAGTTCCGTACATCCCAGAAAGATCAATGTACACTACCTCAATACAGAGTTCACCTAGCTGACAAGTTGTATTGTGACTACCACACCTCCTGTGTCTTGGAAGTTCTCCTTCCCACCTCCTGTAAGCCTATTACATTAAAATGATGTTACAGTGTATCTTCACTTAGGTATGTGAATCTGTCTTCCCCTTTTTGTTTCTCATTGAATGTCTCCTCTCATCTATCCCTTTTAGATGACTGTTGAGGGCTATTTTTTGTTTTGGAACTCTTACTCTGAAATCAAGGGTTAGGGGTACATTGCATCAACCTTCAGCTGTTCACTGGTTGATCTTGGTTGAGACATACTTGTTTGTCCAGTATTACTTCCCTAAAGTCAAGATTTGTTTTTAGGCTTCCACCTTTATTCTTGCACATTTGTTTCCTTATGGTGGTTGCTTGGCTATCCATCACTTTATTGTTGAGGTCCATCGTCCTTTTCGACAGCAGTTTTCCCTTAGTGATGCCACCTATTCTCCTCCTGGAGCACCAGATTTTTTCCTGGTTCTTTTCCTTGTTCGTAGCAATTTGTATATTTGCTCTACTTTCTTTCATTTTAGCCTCTTCAGGCATTTATTCCTAATGGATTTCTTCTAGTAAAACCTTCACATCTGTTGGATCTCTCAGAGGCTGTTGCCTACCCCTCAGTTGCACTGCTTTTGGATGTCCCAAGTATCTAAAAATTACTATATCCCTGTGTATAGTACAAAATAAGAATTTTGACTTACCGCAAAATCTTTTTCTTGAAGTTCATTGAGGGACACACCCTTTTATACGTCACTTACCCTTTTATACTGCTTGCTCACAAACTGATGCATGATGGTTAGGGGCAGGGTTATACGGAGGCAGGCCTTAAACTATTTTTGTTTGCCAGTGGCCACCTCCTGAAGGCCGCTGCATAACCCAAGAGTTTAAGAACTACTAAATCCCTGTGTTCCTCAATGCACTTTAAAAACAGCAGATGCTTTTTCATAATAACCTAGTTCAAGAAAGAGATTTTACAGTAAGTACAATTTTTTTTTTTTACAGCTGCTGTGCAAAAAACAAGAGTCAAATGTGCGGTGCAATGTATGCTTGTTAAAAAGGCAGCATCTTAAAGTGACCCTAAAATTTTTATTTCATGTTCCCCAGAAAAAATAAAGGCCGCGAGATACCTATTGGCTTCATCAGGCCCCTCAGGTCCAGCTGACTCGTCGCTTCTCTGACCCTTCCAGTTCTAGTCCACAGCGGAGGGTGAGTTCTGTGTGAGGCAGACACACTAAATGTAACAGCTAACCAGAGTACTTAATGTAAAAATGAATGTTTGCAGTAGGGATGTTCAGATACCAAGTACCGTACTCTGTACAAGTACAGATACTTTTCCAGCTCCAAGACAAGACTAGAGAAAAATTTAAAAGTTAGGAAACAGCTGTCATTTTTAAGGAGCACACAGAGCTCCTGGGATTTGTTTTTAATATGATTTTTATTTTTTTTAATATTAGGGATGCACTGATACCATTTCCCCCCCCCCAAGTACTGATACTTGTCCAAGTACTCACAGATACAATTGCTGATACATTTTAGTTTATTGTCATGTTTTTCTAAAACAATACAGACTAATGATTTCAGGACAGTGGTGTAGTGCCAGATCCCAGCTGCAAACATGGTAACTCTTGTGAAAATGCCAAGTATCGACACTGGTATCTGAACATCCCTGGTTTGCATTATAGCAGTTGCAAGTTTTTTTTTTCCCCCATTGTATATACAGTAGACCACATACAGGATGAAAAGATCAGCCAGACTTGCAGCTGATTACACGTAAGCAACAGAAAGTGTCCAAAGTCATCAAAGGAATCTTAATAGTTGGCACCTTCCCTAAAAAGTGCAGTGTTAAAGAATTTGATTTGATCTCCCCATTTAGAACAAGTGACTTTTAAATCTATATTGGGAAAAAATAAAAATATTGCAGGATGCATGGAGAAGATATTAAATATTCCAAGTGCCCTTCTTACAACAGAATGCTTGCTGTGTTCTAGGAGTATTGCGGTTGTCCTTTACAGTCAGCCAGGAAGACTATTTTATTTAAACTAGGTTAGTAGCTGTCATCATACTAAGGCCTGTGTTATATTTTTTACTTTCAATTATGATGTATGCAAAGGAATAAAAAGCCAAAGCAAATATTTAGAGCTTGTTCACACGATGTCTGGACCAGAACCATGCACTCCTGCACCCAAAATGCATCTATATGTGTTTTATCGTCTACAGTTCTCAATCTGGTCTGGACACGCACGAATGTGTCAACGCAATGAAAATGTGCTGAAAATGCACTGCAGCTAACATACTGAGCCCCACTCCAGTTTTTTTTTTTGAACTGGAAGGTGGTAAAAACGTGTCAAAAACACACTGCACGCATAGCACCGCGTCTGCTCCAGATCTGGACCAGAAAATGGCGTGAACAAGCCCTTGGTGTGTGTAAAAAGCACATTCTCATTCACCGCATGTTGGAGAAAAAAAAATTACACCTACACCCTGGTGCTCACAGAATCCACCTACAGCGATTGGCAGAACAACAAAACAAGTGTGCTTTTTAAACATCAGCCCAATTTGGTGTGATTCAGTTGACATGTAAATCTGAAGGTACATTTATATACAGTGGGGCAAAAAAGTATTTAGTCAGCCACCAATTGTGCCAGTTCTCCCACTTAAAAAGATGAGAGA